ACTTCTTGAGCTTGCAAACCAAATGAGGAGAAGAAGAAGAAGAAGAACAAGAGATATCAAGACCAGGGGGAACCTTCATGTAGACCTCCTCATGGAGATCACCATGCAGAAATGCATTATTAACTTCAAGCTGAAAAACAATCCACTTGTTCTTGTCAGCCAGATATAGTAAGCATTTGATAGTGGTGATTTTAACAACAGATGAAAAAGTTTTTATAAAGTCAATATCCTCATGTTGAGAATCACCCCTTGTAACTAGTCTTGATTTATACCTTTCAATAGACCCATCAACTTTTTTCTTAAATTTATACACCCATTTACAAGGAATAGCCTTTTTGTGAGGAGGAAGAGGCACTATCTTCCATGTCTGATTTGCCTCAAGAGCTTTAAATTCCTTTAGCATAGCCTCTTGCCAAGCAGGATTGGAAGCAGCCTGCTGGTAAAATTGAGGCTCATGCAAGTGCAAATCAACAGAAGATACCTTGGTAGATGGTGGAAAAGCAGGTGAGAGTACAGATGAACAGACATAGTCTTTAAGGTGAACAGGTTGTATGACTGGTCTAGAAGATCTCCTTAGAGGAAAAGAAGGAGGAGTAGGTGAAGGAGCAGAGGAGAAGGAAGATGGAGAAGAGGAAGGAACGGGTAGAGAGACTGGAGAAGGATGAGAGGAAGAGGAGGAAGGGGTAGGAGAACTATGAGGTGGACTGGAGTAGGAAGAAGGATAAGGGTCACTCCCATGAGTATGAGAAACAGGAGTAGGCAGGACATCTATAGAATTAGGAGTAGGTAGAGGAACAGAACAGGAGAGGAATCAGATTTGTAGGGAAATACATGTTCATTGAAAACAACATCCCTAAGAAAAGAAAATAGAGTGATTGGAAATGTTAAGAAGCTTATTGCCCTTTTTCCACAGGGATAACCCAAAAAAATAGAGGGTATTGACCTAGACTGAAACTTATCTCTCCCTAGTTTGGGAGAGGTGGAAAAACATAGGTACCCAAAGGACTTGAGGTGTTCATAGGATGGAGGAATTCCATGTAATTTTTCATAGGGTGAAAGGTTCTGAATGACAGATGAAGGCATTCTGTTGATGAGATAAGTTGCAGTTAGTACACAATCACCCCAATATTTGGGAGGAAGATTAGATTGGAAAAGAAGAGCTCTGGACACCTCAAGTAGATGTTTGTGTTTTCTTTCTACAACTCCATTTCTATTGAGGAGTGTGTGGAATGGTAGTTTGGTGTAAAATCCCTTCAGTGTTAAAGAGAGTTCCTTCATAACTGCCCCCAAGTTCAAGAGCATTGTCTGACCTAAAAGTTTTAATAGGGAATTCAAAATGCACTTTGACCATGGCTGTAAAAGCCTTAATGATGGAAAGTCATTGCTTTTACAAGAAAGAAGGTGAGTCCAAGTAGACCTTGTAAAGTCATCTACTATGGTCAAGAAATATCTGAACCCATTGTAAGTTTTAGTGTTATAAGGACCCCAAATATCAATATGGACTAATTGAAATGGGACAGTAGAATGTATAACACTTTCAGGAAAAGGCGGTCTTTGTTGTCTAGCCATTGGACAAATAGAACGTAAGAAAGATTGTTTAGGTGATATTTTGTCACACAAATATGTAATGGACTTCATTTTGTGGAAAGGAATATGCCCCAATCTTTGATGCCAAAACAAATCCACTTCATTAGATGTAGATGTGTGATTACAAGAAACAACATCAACAACATGATCTACTACAGGACTAGTGTTAACAGAAGGAACAGAAACAGGTAAACTAACAGATGAATGAGAAGCAGACATGGAATTGGATGTAACAGGAAAAAGATCAGCATCTGGATATAGGTAGTACAACCTTCCTGCAGCCTTACTAATTTCTAGTGGCCTCTTCAGAGAAGGGCCCTGTAAAGAACAAATTGATTTGGTAAATAAAGTTGAACAATCTAATTGACAGATGAGTTGATGTACAGAAATCAAATTAAATTGAAAGGAAGGAACAAGGAGGACATGAAGTAAGACTATATCATGTCTGAGATGTAAAGATCCAGTGGAAACTACTTTGGCTTTATATCCATTTGGAAAAGTGACAAGGAATGGCTTAGGTAAAGGCTCTACATTAAAAAGTGAGTGTTTATGTGGAGTCATATGGTTAGTTGCACCTGTATATAATATCCAAGGATTTACTTTTAACTGCGATGAATCACATACATGAGAATCCACAGAACTTACACCATAACTACTAAACAAACCTGCAAAATGGGTAAATGCAGTGTTGTCTACAGTAGACTCATCATGAATTGACCCAGAAGATAGTTGAGCCTGCTGAAATAGAGCTAGGAGATGTTGGTACTGCTCTTTAGTAAAACCATGAGCTGATGACTCACGAAACTGTGTAGTTGGAGCAGCATGCAAAGGTGTAGAAGGAGTGAAAGAGTGTTCAGTTTGGACACATGAAGCAGACTTCTTGTTCTTCGTGAACTTGAAGTCTGGAGGAAATCCATGGAGCCTGTAACATTTGTCCACAGTGTGTCCAGGTTTCTTGCAATATTTGCAAGAAGCATTTGTGTTAGACCTAGTGGATTCAAAAATCACCTTTTGACTAAAGGTTCTGTTCCCATTGATGATCCAGTAGAAATTAGGAAGGAGGATGTATCTCCAAAAATACTTGGGACAGAAGAATGAGCTTCCCTTTGACTTTCATTATGTTGAAGAAGGGAATAAGCCTTGCTCATTGGTGGAAGAGGGTTCATCATCATAATAACACTTTATACGGTTGAATAGGACTCATTTAAACCATTTAGAAATAGAAATAATTGTTGATCTTCTATGAATTTGGGCAAGGCACCACAAGAGCATACAGGTCCTACATATGAGGAATGTAGTTCATCCTAGAGGCTTCTCATCTTTGTGAAGTAAGATGCTATGTCAGAAGACCCCTGAGTAGTAGAATGAATTTTCCTTTGAAGTTGGATGTACTTAGACCCGTTTGACTGCCCAAACATATCATTGATGTCTTTCCAGACTTCCTTGGCACTCCTAAAAAACATCACACGGGTAGCAATCTCTCTAGATACTGAATTTGTTATCCAGGCCTTGACCATGTCATTACATCTTTCCCAATACGCATAGTAAGGGAAATCTGATGTGGGCTGAGAGACTCTACCATCTACTAACCCTAATTGTTCTTTGCAGAGAGAGAAGTGACCATACTACTTCTCCAAAGTACAAACCCAGACCCATTGAATGGCACAGACACCAACTGACTACCAGGGTTATCAGACGGGTGAATATAGAGAGGGTGAGATGGATCCAGTGAAAAAGGAACAAAACCAGTAGAAGTCGAAGACACATCATCATTATTCAATATACTACCCATCAGAACGAGTTGTAATCAAAACGAGTTCACAATATAAGAGATAAAAGTCGAATGATAACAACAGAGGTAAAACAGAGTGCAATCAACAAAAAATCAATACATGCAGATAGGTGAGAATATACTAGCCTTCTTCTGAAAACCCAAAGAAGTAAGGTCTCATCTAATCGAAAACCCTAGACATGATTTTTGCTCCCAAATGTAACAGCACCTTCGTGAAAATCAAAAATTCGGAGAAGATATACCTCAATCAAGGATCGAAGCTGAAAAGTCTCAAATTTCTCCGATGAAAGAACACAGTACTGCCTACCGCAAATTCATAATTGTTGCTGCAGCTTTATTTTATGCTTCTTCTAATATGGTGGGACCTTTTAATTTACGAAAACCCAGAAATTATTTTCAGGAGAATATACTATCTTCTGTCAACAATTATTCCCACCAGTAACTTCTATCCACGAACTATATATAGTTAGGCAAATGCTTACTTTAAAAAGATATTTTTTTGTTTTATCGCACAATTGATTTATTTTCTTGTCTAAATGAGTTTTGTTTTGCTTTATTTTTAATACTAAACAAAAAAAATAAAAATAAAATATTTTCTGTCGACAATCTTAAAAACATTTTCCAGAAAAAAATCCAGACACTCAAAAAGTAGAACAAAACAAATTCAAAATAAAACGAGAACGCCACAAATTTGTAGAGAAATCGCAATACATATTCACACGAGAGGAAGATCAAATACAGAAATGGCAAGGAGCACTTGAGAAGCTGAACTGTTATCCTTAGGAGACAATGTAGTCTGTGTTGATCTTGTAGGTACTTAGTCGAAGTATTTTCCTACTTAGACTACAACGTAAATAGGATCATAGATGGTCAGTATCTACTTGCTTTGTAAAGTCTATTCTTTTTGGAATTAATCGAAATAAAATTTACCAAAAAAAAAAAAAAAAAGCCACAAATTTGTCTCCAATAGGTCATCAGGATTTGAACTACCAATGCTTTCGTCCTGTTTTTAGGCTAATTTGTTACCCGATACAACTTCCAAGTAGGGAACTACAAGAAATCTAATAAAGTGAATTTTGTTTGTTATTTTTCTGGAGGACCGGTAATCAATTTCGTGACATTTGTTTGGAGTTTGAAGGTGAAGTTTGCAAACTTAGTTTTTGAGTTTTATTGATTGTTTGAGCTATTTTTTAGAAATAATTATTAACTTTTTTTTGTTATTGAGGATTTTACAAATTCAAATTTTTAAATCTTTCAAAAGACGGAGAAGCCTTTGGAGAATACAAGAGCGCTAAGAAGGATACTAACTAGTAAAGCCCGAGGGAAGCTCTAGATGGCGTGAACCAAAAGTTAAAGACACGAACTAACACGACTGAAAGAGAAGAAGGGTAAGGATTTAAACCAAGTGAAGTGCATTAAAGACATTCTTAACACGTGTCGACAAAATATGATGAGGTCAAGGAGAAATGGAGAGACATTCTTTACGTCTGTCGGCCTAATTCTACGAGAGTAGCTAAGAAGTGGTAGGATGTCCGATGAGTGAACACCATATACGACAAGTCTATTTTCATGAAAATCCAAGGCCTGTATATCCACCCAGTGCTCTTACAGGCCAAAAATATTGAATATGATGATATAAATATTGCATAGATCTCTTTATAAAAATACAACTTATTTCATACCATCCAACTACATTGTGATTTCAAAGTTCAATAAACAACAACCTTATTAACATAATCAATTAAATAAAACCAATGAAAAGCTGTGAAAAACAGCCACTAAAGCTAATTTGACATAGAACAACTTTTTGATGAAAGCTTTTCAGGTTGTATCTTCATATACTGAACATAGACTTAGTAAACTTCCTCATTCAAGAGATGGAGCAAGGCATTCGTCTACCATATCGACAAGGTTAGGATTTTCCAATGCTGCAGCTACCCGTTCTTTATCATTCAACTGCTTATTTACTGCAGGCAGAAAAATAAATGATCAGTTGCTGGACATAAAGCAATCGGAGACTGCTCTTAAAAAACTCTCATTTCCAAATGTTTGATGCTAAAAAAAAAATAAGAAGAAGCTTGTATGGTTTTCTTTTTTCCTTCTCTTTTCTTTTGGGTATGTTATAACTTATAACTTACATTTACCTAAAGGGCGAACACTATATATGGTAGAAGAAAACCCATAACCAGCTCTATGCCCGTGTGGCATGTTAAAAAGAGGATATTTAATATACAGTTCGCGAGCTTTACTCGCAAAAGGAAGATGCCCTTTTGTCAAAGCAAATGGGAAGTGACAAATACAGGCCTGGTTGGGTTCAAATGGGAGAAGTCCAGCAGAGTGACAAACAGAGAGTTATAAAGATTTGTTAGTGATCAAAGGGTAATGGCTACGACAGATACCTGCAGCTTCTGTAGCGTGAGTACCGGGTGCTACTCTAATATCTACCTGGGAAGATAACAAAAATATGTTATTAAAAACAAGTAAACTTAAAACTTGCAAATACATTAACATTTCCAAGAATTTAAAGTCACAGCTAGCAATCAACTAAAAACTTCAATATAAGGGCAACCCGGTGCACAAAGCATCCGCGTTCAAATAGGATTCGCGGAAGGACCGCACCCCGAGGAAGTGCGATGTAGGCAGTCTAGCCTGACGCTTGCGTCAGTGGCTGATTCCACGGCTCGAACCCGTGACCTATAGGTTACACGAAGACAACTTTACCATTGCTCCAAGGCTCCATTTCAACTAAAAACTTCAATGTTAAAACATTTGTATAATATTCCAACAAAAAAAATTCCCGTAGAAGTCTTAGCAATCATTGTTTCATTCTCGTAGTTTAAAAATGCAACTAAAATTTTGAAATAACATGCAGAGACTGGTTACAGATCTGATATAGGTTATCCACATTATGCACGAAACCCCCATAAGTAGTTAAAGCACAAAATAATTTTAAAGTCCAAGGAAGAAACTTTGAGGTTGAAGTCATTAACAGTTCTAAGAAACCACACACAGACAGCCACACGTTACATTAATGCTTGGTCCAGCTCTACAGGTATGAACGTCTTTTCCAGTAATCTGTGGTTTTGGGAATTGTTGACTTCTATAGTATCATAATAGCATATGGCATAATATTCTATCTACTGTAATATTATTTCTACAGGGAAGATGTAACACACATAGGACCGTTGAATCGAAATAGAAATGTGATAAAGCATACCTTATAATGTGAAGGCAAACATCGCATAAGTTTCACACGCAAGCATAATCCAATAACGGTTGCCATGCTGCAATGTTCAACAGTTGGCGTGAATGTGACCCTGAATCCAAGAACTCCCTCTTCTTAGACAACATGAAAAGGCTACTTACAAGGAATCAAAACAGAAACATATGAAACAGATTCATATCTCACCTTACATAGCTTCGCTCGTCATCTACCTCAATGGCATCTTCTGTTATAACTTTCAGCTCTTCCAGAGAATAGGGATGCTCTGGATCTTTTATATCTCTAAGATAGTGTAAGAATGTTAAGGATTGATTAGATTTTCATAGCTATGAAGTTGCCCCAACTAATCAAACTTCATACTTGCTTAGTTCCCTTCTAAACGATACAATAATGACCCAAAGAGGGAGAAAAAGATTTCCTATCGAAACACATAGTCAAATGTATTGTCCTCATGTTACTTGGTGAATGACACTAGCATTTGTGAAGCAAAAGGAAAAGTATGAAACTATGTAAAAGTTCATCAAGCAGAGTAACCTGAAGACTGCAATCATGTGTAAGCAACTGGTCACACTGACCCATATTTTAATCGAATATAGGAAAGTATACAAAGATAATCTATCCCTGATTGAACAGTGTCACCTCAAATCAGAACTGGGGGCAGCATGACCAAAATAATTTCATGACATGTGATCCTAATATAATCTACTCCCTCTGTTCCAATTTATGTGAAGTTGTTTGATTGGGCACGGAGTTTAAGAAAAAAATGAAGACTTTTGGAATTTGTGGTCCTAAACAAGTCAGAATATTTGTATGACTATAATTCTTTTGAAACTTGTGGTTATAAAAGCTTCTCATTATGGGTAGGATTAGAAGTTTAAGCTAAATTGTTTCCAAATTTAGAAAGGGATCATTCTTTTTGGAAAGGACGAAAACGAAATAGGTTCACATAAACTAGAACAGAGGGAGTACCATTTACCAGGAATAGCAAAACAATGTGCACCTCAATTTGTCTTGGCCGAAATCCCAAGAAATGTAAAACAAATGTTGAAGGTGCAAATAATGCATTTCCCCCCTTCCCCCCCCCCCCCCCCCCCAAAGAAATTCAAAAAGCAAATAAATACATGAAAATCATATGTCAACTTCTTTAGTGAAAGGCATCCAGAAAAATCAAACTAAAGATAGCTATTGTCATGTTTCTACAGAAAATGGAGCATAGTGACTGACATGTCCTCCTATCCTCCTACATCTCCCCTATTTCTGTAAAGCAGGATTAGTATTTGGTGGTACACCACACATGTGGCGTGGAGAGAGTGAGCTGAGGATTTCCTTTCCAATCATTTATAGAGCCTCGTGCCAGAGAGAGCTTACAATCCAACAGATTCATATGATACATGAAGGGGAAGTCCATTGGGATTTGAAATTCGGAGGAACCTCTAGGATTGGGAGATGGGAGAATCTCAAAACCTGGTTGACCTTCTGTACAGACCAGTGTTGTCAAAAGCGAAAAGCTCTAAAAAGCGCCCCAGGTCTATTGGTGCTTTAAGTGCAAAGCGCAATCAAAATGTGGGCTTTAATAAAAAAGGAGCAATAAAGGAAAAAAATAAATATATATGTAATTCAAGAAAAAAGAGTAGCAAATTCACTCATAATGTTTTTGTTAACAACTAATACACTTATTTGTCGATTATTATTATTGTTTAGTACTGCCTGATTCAAGATAGAACTCATGGGCAATAAGGCACACGCCTTAGTGCCTTGCTTACACTAAAGCGCAACTTAAGCGAGGCGAAGCGCGCTTCCTGAGTTTTTCTGAGCTTTAGGACTTAAGCACGCCTTAAATGAGCCTTTGACAATACTGGTACAGACACGTGTCATATGCTACATTGTATCTATGGATACAGGGAGAGAGTAGGGACTGCTTGTTCACAGTTAAGTGTCAACTTTCCCACACCTTTCTATTTGGGGTCCCTAGGGAGCCAAGAAAGGTGTGTTTCTTTGAGCGGTTGACAACGAGGGGAGTGATACTAACAGCGAAAAATCCTGAGGAAGAAGAGGATCACCTATGTTAGTTTGTGCGTAAGTGAAGATGCTTGGGTGAAGACATAGACTATCTACTGCTGCATTGTCCGGTGGCTGCGCATTTGTGGTCGGTAGTCTTAAATTGGTTTGGAATGCAATGGGTGATTTTGTCTACAGTAAAGGACGTGGTGCACAGTTGGGCCTTCAAACTCGAGAGCATGGTACTTGATATGCCTACTTCACTCCAACTTCATCATTTAGGCTTTAGCCAAAATAATAAGTAACTGAATATAAGAAATGATCTTACTATACCAGATAAGAAAAGGCTTACAAAACATTTCATGCACTAAGGTGCAAAAGTTTTTTCTCACTTCATCTTGCGCATTGAACTACATAGCACTGAAATATATATCAAAAACAACTATAAAGAAAAGAAGCAGAAGTTCTTTTTCACTTCATCTTTCACATTGAACTACAGGGCACATCAATAAATATCAAAAACAACTACAAAGAAATTAACTCTAGTTTGCAAATTCAAAAACCTCCCCTAGGTATTCTGCAGTGTAATATTTTAATGCTACTCAGCGACTTAGCATGCTAGTACTGCTCCATTTCAGAACTGAATGATTGAGCACAAAACTCTCACAGATTCCGAAGTGGATGAGTTTTAGCCTCATAGATATTACCTTATAATAGAGATTAATTCAAGTCCAACTTAATAGACTAAGAACACTATCAGATTTCAGCCAATATTGGCTAAATGATGATAAAATGAAATCACTCAGAAGGATATCAAAAATTTCGAGCTGGTCGATAGTTTCAGCTGCATATTCATCCACACTTTGACCACTCCTAGCTCGACGCTCCTTCTTCTCATACACAATGGGGTTGGCATTTATCAATTCAGAAACCATTTTCACGTCCGACCTTTATAAGATTCACCTGGCAGTAATGATGTCTCCAAAGATCAAAACACAAAACCAATTTCTGAGCTAAAGAATTTCTTTGCAATAATAAACAAATAAATTTAATAAACTTCAAATTTATCTTTCTGAATCATAAGCTACAACAGCTGCTTCATTTTAAACCTCTCTTGCACCAAAACAAAAGATAGAAATCTCTGCAAAAAATCCTTTGGACCATAAGTTTCACAAATCTTTTTTTCCCCTTAAATTTCGTATCCAATCAAACATCATCACATAAATTTGGAAGGAGGGGAGTAATAGTTATCCAGAAGCCTCATGAATTTCTTTGAACAAGCTAATAGAATCATGTGCACAAACTCATATATCGAAATTAACTAGAATAAGACGTTTACTCATTTACAACCATGTGGAAAAACATATAAAAATCACAAAATTTTCTCAAGGGTCGTCGGAATATTTCCCAGAAAGAATCATAATAAGCATAAAGAGTTAAGTTAAAAATCACAAATTCAATAAGAGAAAAACAAAAAGTATGTGTTTTTATCAGATTCAACTTACGAGTTCGATTTCCAATCTGAAGAAGTGTATTTGACGAGGGGAAAGAAGGAGAGCGAGCTACGAAGGCAGATGGTGGAAGAAGCGGATGTTGGCGGGGAAGAACAACTCCTAAATCTTTGGACCTAAAAATTTTCTTATTTAGTTACTTCGGTTGTTATTATAGTTTACCTTTTTATCAGCAAGAAATAATTGAGGAGGACTATAAATAAATATAAAAAAAAATTCTTCTAAGATTATTTTCTTTTATTTAAATTAGAAATGAATGTAATAGACAATTTTCCCCATATTCTTTATATTAGAAACAAAATATTTGGAAAAAAAATCTTTATGTCCACTCACAGTTGAATAGAATAAAACGACTCTACAAAGCTTTTAATACTTTATTTGCCGATCTTCTTTATTAAACTTTAATGATCTGGTATGAAAGGTCATAAAACTAAAATTACATTTATAAAAACCAAATCTCTCCTATTTTTATCCGGTCAATATCCCTAGTTGAGATTTTCAAAACCGATTAGGAAATTAAGTATCTCTGAACTAAAAACTATTTAGTGACAAAAAAATTAGAGATATACAACAGATTAAAACTCGAAATCTAATCTATTTGAAGTTGAAGGGTAAAATATTACATTGAATATTAGAAAAAGATTATTTAGGTCTTTTACATACAAATTCACTAGTAGTAGACATAAAACCCAAGGTATACTAAACATCTCTTGTACAATACAAAAATAACTCCCTAACTATATTCACTATATATATATATATATTTGCTTTTAGGGAAACTGCAATCGAACTTGACTACTACAAAGCCATACACCCTACTTTTTTTCCCAAAATTTCGAACAATGAGCATAAAGAATTTAAAAAGAAAAACTCAGCACACATGAAAAATATCCCAGTTATCTGTTGCTATTGTCATCCATTGAACACTCAGAAGCGGTATCATCCAACGTTGAGGTTGAAGTTGTGTCGACTGAGCTACTATCACTATCTGAAGATGTACAAGTTTGGTCCTCCATTGGTTGTTTCAAGTGCCAATACATTATACTTGCTGTGAGTGTGAGGATCATCTTCTGATTTACCTGATTAAAACACACCACTATATTATGATTTTGTATAAAACAGTTAAGGCACTGGCGGAGGCAGAAATTTCATCAGGCGGATTCAGAGAGATGATCTGTTGTGTTTAGGGGAATCGACAGTTTATAGAAGTTTTTTCAACTATATACACAATACAATTTTCAGGTGAACGTATTCTGTTGAGCTCCGTTTGGTAAACTAGCTCTGCCACTGAGTAGAGGACACAACAAATGTAGAGGGAATTGACTTCCTTTATTTACTATTAGAGGCAGCAAATTCACATTATTGCCCGAAACTAAAGATAGGATGCATCAATTAGCCATGCATGTTTAGTGGGGATTAGCCAAATGAAGGATTACCTCAATCAGATCTTCGGGTAACAAAAATATTGAACATCCAAGTTTCCTTGCAATACTGATAATGTAGGTCGCGTTCATCTTCTTCTGCTCCTCTGCATCACCAAAGATTTCGTTTAGCTATAAAGTCATATGTAGGAGTAATAATCACGACTGAAGGGAGAAATGCAAAATAAGTCACTCAAAAAGTACTATAGACGACACAAGATCAATAAGCTATTTGGCTTAACAAGCATATAAAGCTACTTTAACTACATTGAATGATCTCAATTGGTCAGGATTATCCAGGTTATGGGTGCCTCTATTCCTCTTTCTCAATTTGACAGCCATTTCTTCAGAATGTTTGGATGATTCATTAAAATCACTCTTAACTAGTGCATGTTTCGACTCTCTAGAATGTGGATATATCATAGGGAAAAAGCAGAGAACGATTTCATTGGCAAAAAAGGAAATTTGTAAAGACATAGCAAACTGGAACTGTGAGCCCTTTCTATTAAGACCTTGGTACCTCCCTTACCTAGAGAATAGTATTCAAGTATCATCTGACTAAGTGATGCTGATTCCTTTTCCATAAGTTAGAGATGCTTCATAGCGCCCCAAGTGGTTTGTCAATATAAAGGATAGAAGATCTAGTACACGTTCACAACTATCACCATATTCAATCATTTACTATATTAGAAATCTTCATAAAGTGGTTGTGGAGATTCAATTATAGGAAAATGCGTTAGTGTAGATTGATTTGTGCTACTCCATGATATGAAGTTCAAAATACACTCTCTTTGCAGCAAGCTCAAAAGATTCAGTCGGGCATCACACAGAATTTCCATCCAATAGTATTTTGATGGATTTGCTATTAGTAAAATAAAGAGAACAGAAAAGAAATAGAGAGAAAGAACAATGCCTCGTGTTGATAGTGATACTAACAAGCAACTAAATTAAATCAGAACAACTGAAAGAAGGAGCCTATTGAAGTCTGAAATAAGTTACCAGTTTCTCCTTTTGTAACAAGACTCCAGTTAACAGCTCGAGGGTGTACAGCACTAAGCAATTCAAGGAAAAAGATGCCATCTGACAAGCTCTTATCCTGTAAATTTAACAGGGTCAGTTCTCTGTCTCACAGTAATGGGAGGTAAAAGAGGTGCATGCTAGCCAACTTGTGCAGTATTACTCAATAAGCACAATAGGATACATGATCCGAAAAAGATGCACACGAAGCATCAAATCTACGGGGAGGGAAAACAGGTGTCCAACTGAAATCAGGGATTGTATAGAAGTTAAAAACTTTCTTCGCGAGCCATATCATGTAAGTTTCCACCAGGAAAAAACTTGATTGTTACATTTAGTCATCTAACTGAAAGTTCGATGGTTAGGGGTTTACATATCATAAGTATACATGTATAGTCTGCTTAAGTAGAACTTGAACTTGAGCTTGATGAGGACACAACACCATTTTCACCCCTTTTAATTACCCAGCACAAAACATTTCAAAGCAAGGTTCAAAACATTGAAAATAGATTCTATATGCGCGCACACACACGCACGCACGCAAACACAGACACACACACGCGCTCGCAAAGCCCATGCTTTATCAGAATAATCAAAGAAGGCCTACTCAACTCTATTGTTCTGAATCTAAAAAGACATTATCTTTAGAAATTATACCTTAAAACTAGCCATGCGACTCTTGCTTCCTGAATTTCTTACTTTGCTGTTGGACCACTCTAAAATATCTGCATCAGTGATTTCCTTCCCATTGGAATGAAATCTCAAATTCTTCAAGAGCTGAAGCATGTTACATCGCATTAACTGCCACAAGTAAGCTGAAATAGGGAACGGAGAATGTTGGTCCATAACAGTTTGAGTTACCCCCCAACCCCACAAATAACCAAACAAAGCATGTTGATATTACAGACATGAATAATTTAAGGAGAAAAAGAAAAGAATAAAGAACGATATCACTTACCCAATATTAATTTCTTATTTCCCTGTACAATGTCATTTCCAGCAATATTTACAAGAGAAAACTTCAGTTGTTTCCCAATCTTCACAACTTGGTTGCAATTCTCTACTTTTCTGAAGGGCATCTTAATTGGAGGCTTAGTAGCAATTTTCCAATTAACAATTCCAGGAGAGACCTTATCAAGTGTCTCTAAAAGCAACCATCTGGAAAGACACAAACATTCATTAGATTGAAATAAATGCACTTGCGCACGCGACCACACACACTCATAGAAGTCGTCTTCGTATTCTTTACACCTTCAAAAACCTGATAGAGTTATAATTTTCCGTATGTCGTTGCATGAGCAAATTAGATCACAGCAGAGTTCAAATTCTTTATCTTTTAAACTTAGTCAGGAAATTTCGTAGGAACATAAAATAAGCCCCACCACGATAGTGAGAGTTTGCGATACTAGAGTACCATGGGCACTCACCCGTTTCTGAGATCTTCAAAAACATTATCTATGTAAGCTGAATTTCCAAGACTATTGATCCAAAAGCGGAAAGCTCTCTCTTCCCTGGACATTTGAGCTTCATCCGGTGAAATCTCCAGAAAGGATATTTGCTTAGTTTGAGTTGATAGCCCATTCCTATGGATAAGAGGTTTATGGTCAATTCAAGATAGAAACAAACAATCAAACAACTAAATTTTACAGTTAAATATAGCACTAATTTCACCATACATGCTATGAAGTGATAATCTCTCAAGCTTGACTAGCAGAATTGGCTAATCATACAAGTAGTTTGGTCAATTTACCAAAATATTGAGGTGGCAAAAGGAACTACTACTCTAAGTCACTCTGCTAGCGTTTGGCAGTGTTTCTAAAAGAACAAGGGATAAAATGCAAATTAACATGGTCCATCAGTTGCATATATTCTGTCTATATTGCTAATGACAATTAAATATACCAAAACCTTGGTCTGCAACAATTAAATTTCTTTAAGAACACAAAAGGATTAACCAGCAACAGCTGTCTTCTTCTCATAGATGTGTTATAGACAAAAGAAAACTTAAACGGAAATAGTCTGCAAGTTCATAAGTTGAACTTATGAAAGAAACACTTGATTCTTACCTATGCTGAAAGATATGTGCCACAAATGCAAGGTTAAGATTTGGTGAACCTTCCACAATATCTTTTGCTGTTAAGTATCTTTTGCAACCCATCCTGTCCGCATGCTCCAAAACCAACTTCGCTCTTGCTAAATGGTCTTTCGTAGTGAGTGTGGTAGGATTAGTGTGCTCTGGGGCAAGAACATTTAAGAGGTGACCATAAGCTTCTCCGTCCTACAAAAGCAAATGGATGGCTAAGAATCATCATTATACACTCAAAATTGATAAAGAAATTACATGAAAGGGATGAAGAGGAAAGCTCTTTTGCTTTATTTCTGGGGTAGAAGGACAAGAAATCACTCATTCTATAAAACTAAAAAGCTTATTTAAGAACCCTCAACGTATAGATATCTTTAAATTATGTGAATTGGCTGATCCTTAGTTTCAATGGGAAACTTATTTAGAATTTCTGGCATTGGAAATAAAACTACAAGCACCACAGACTCGTTCTCTCTGAAGGGAAAAGATTATCTTTTAAACACCAAGGAAAATGCTCCAAATATTCAAATTTGCATGATGATGCAAATTCCAACTCATTTTTAGTTACCTTTATGTCAGATGAGAAGTTTGTCACAATTTTCTCGTATTTAGCTTTCTTCAATTGAAAATTCATCCATCTAAGCAAGATTTTT